CACGCTGTTTCAAATACCCCCACATAAAAATTTCAGTGGAGCTGGCGTCGGAGAAGTTCTGTGCCAATACCATCTCTGCATTGTTGCTGACAAGCTAGTTCCTGAAAGGGCTATGTCATGAGTCCTGGACGTTATTGCTAGTGTGTGGCACCGCATCGTCTTGTCGAAACCATTGATGTCCGCTCCGGATTTTTGGTTGCTGCTGTCCAAGTCTGCTCCAAAATTTCCGAAATTGCTCAGTGCAGCTACAGTGAACATCATTCCTACATAATAGCAGCACTTTTAGCCGTAATCGAGAATATTTCGGTTCAAATAATTGTCGAAACAACTAATTGATGGTCCGATAGATGCATACAGCCGAATCTCTATACATCTCTTTTTTGCGGCCAGCTATCAACGAAGAATAAGGCCAAAAGCACCGGACCTCATCAAAATGGATCGATTAACGTCTCAATGTGGCATTTACAGGTCACTTTCTCAGCCTACCCATCTTTATCCTCGGGGTGCAGTGGTCTGATTACCTCTTTGCGACTCATATGGGTCCAAACGGTGACTTTCGTGATGACGGTGTAAAGGTTTCGCCAGCCTTTAACACGATTAACACGCCATTTGGGGATTTTCCCCTCGTATACGGCATAACGACTCCGAACGTATCCACTGATTCAGGAGTGAATCTCATTATTGAACCCCATTCTGCATCGCATAAAGATACTTATGTGAGTTGTTAAGTGCGTTTGCGAGTCACGTTACACATGTAAATAAGATGGTGCTGCTAGTTTTATGCCTCGTTGAATAACCGGGGAAGAGAGACATAGGTGCATTCATATTTCGGTTACATGCCTTTTTAAAAAGGAATATGACTCGTAAATTCAGAATTCAAAATTGCCTGCTGATTCCACTGAATCTCTCAAGCACTACACATACGTGTAAGCGATTTTAAGCAGCACGCATGAAGGCACTTATCATACTTGCATAATCGGCAATGACGAGCCCTGTACGTTTAGATCTGGTCGCCGACTTCTTATAACAATGGACTCACCAGTCCTGACCTAAACGGTGACCTCTTGGACACCAGAGAGCTTCACTAGCTTGGTAAACCCGTGGCTACCCACATGGAGTAGATAATGAACTGGGTTCAGTATAGCTTTCGGGAAAATATCGGTAACGCGCACGGTTACGAAGAAGACGTTTACGAAAATTTACATGGATACTTCAAGACATGCTGCACGATGTTGCTGCCTGTACTTCTTTTAGCCTTACTCAGATCGATTGACACTGTGTTTACAGTTATTCGTACAAAAAGAGCAAGTGTGGGTCTAAACTCTCCCCGAAATGTTTCCATAATTTGCAACAAAAGAGCTAGAAAATGCAAACGGTTGGGTGACGAGTGGATGCAGGTGATCAGTAACAGGTAATGCATGAGGATAGGCACAGCCCCGTGGGTAGCGAGTGGATTGGGTAAAATAAACCTTGTCTCTGAAACCTTTTATTAGACACCTTGTATTATGGGCGTAAGGTTGTTAGCACTTTTCGCCAAGGTGCCGAAAGCACACGTCCAATCATATGCCGGATGGTAATGATTTAATGCTCCCAACATGCTGACATGAAGACCCATGGAAAATAATGCTATTGTACAGCCGTAAGAGCCTGCCGGAGGGATGGCCCTACCCTTTTATATTTCCTTCCATTTCCACCTTTCATATAGTGTAACAATAAACCTGCCGTTAGCCGTGCAAAGAACCGAATTCAAAGTGGAGTTTTTCCCCATGGAAGTTCCTACGCCCCTGCTTTAGGGTGCGGGTGTGACACAGAATGCAGGGAATCAAGGTGTGGGAAAGGTATAATTAAGCGCAGACGGCCAGAAGCGTTCACATCGGGTAAGTTAAAATGACCGATGGGAATGTGCAAGGCGAAATGTGGTAGGTTAGGGCGAATAAGCCAGATAAGACAACTAGCACAGTGACTACCAGCACAACTTTCAAAGAATCTTTGCTGGAGCCTCAGGAGTTGCCATCTTTATGCTTCTTATAAAACTCCGTAATAGCAACTACCGCAAACGTTTGGCAGAAATTTTCCATGTAACGAGTTTTATGTTGCTAGGACAGCCAGACTGGCTTGGTTGCTACTTAAGCGACTTTGCGCATTTCTCACAATTCAATATGGTTGCCGCCGCCATCTTGAATGTTCGTCCAGCTTCAAAGTTTCATCTCGACGACTTGAGGCTTGTATGATGCAGTCTTGTTTAGGATTTCTGATGGCAGGGAGCCCATTTTTGCGGCCATCTGTACTGCATGGCGTCTAATTCAAGATTAAATTGAGCGCCAAAGGTCAAACTTGATCAAGAGTCACCAAGCTCCCCTGCACTGTTCGATATATGTCGTTTGCTGCCTTCTCGCCCACATAGTACAGGTACACCTCGAATACACTTTCTCACGTGACCCGATCACTCATATCCCATAAAGCCATAGAGAGCTTTTGGGTGGTGACTAGGGTGTCGACCACATCACTCCATTACCCCATCGACACCAAAATTGATAGGTTGATGCACATGAAACAGTCAGTAAAACACTCAGTCACAATGTTTACCTATATCGTACTCTCAATTCAACTCTTAAGCTTATGCATGTCGTTCTCGCTCAAAAGGCACCTCACATTTGGTTCCTCACTGTCCTTTGTGCACTCGCATCAGAGCCAAAATATTTCGCGGATCAACAGATGCATTGAACCGTGAGTTTTGAGCACTGCCACCCTCTAAATGATTTAATATTTTGATTCATGAGCCAACACTGCTGGTACTGGCTGTGGCGGGGCTGCAGGCGCACTCTAAAAATCCTAATTTCATCAACAGATTATCAGTAATTTAAAACACGACTCAGCTGTCCACCAATGCGACGATGAAGAGGAATAGTGAGTGGAACGCCTGGTTAGCTGATCGATGTTTCCGTGTTGGGGTCGGCAGAAAATGTAAAAAGCAACGATTATATTAGATGTCACGTGACTACGAACGGCGCCTAAACTTTCAGCTTTTACCATTTGCGCTAATTGTCAACGCCTTCGAGGGTATCACTGTTGCTTTGCTTCCTACAGTTGGTTGCGGTGTTTTTTTTCGTCATGTCGTTTTGCTGTCCTTTTGCTGTTGTTTTATGTAGGAACACTTCCGAATTTTACTAATTGTCATCAATCAGCATGCACTTATTAGCAACAACCTATTGCAACGCATTTGATGAGCATGCCATTTTACTCAATTCATCATGTTTGATTCATTCAAATGAATTCGATACGCATGCATCTCAACTTTGCCACAATGATCTCGTCTGAATCGTGTGCACCTGATATTCATGCTGTCCTGTGGGCGTCACGCAGGTGTGACCTGTGATGAAAGCGTATTGGCAAGCTTTCGTAACTGAGCAGCTCGTTATACGGGCGTGAGGACTGTAACGTCACGATCTTTTCAATTTTAATTTGTAACGTGGCGCTATTGGTGGAAGTCCCCGGGGCATACTATGTTGTTGTGCTAGTTTTCTCCATGCTTTGCTACGTATCGCAAGACCTAGCCCAGCCACCCAGCTTACCAGACTTAACGGATGGAAGGAACTGAACTCTTTCTTCTGTATGGGCATGGTTTAGAGACTCGCAGAGATGCTCGCAGAGACAGCGATTGGTTCCAATCATTATGCTAGAACCATCTGCATCGGCTGAACAGTTCATGCCATCAGTCATGTTGCTTGGAATGACGATGCCGTTGTTGTATGCGCTGATTGTCGTTGTTGTGAGAGCTGATTGTCGTTTACTCTATGGGCCTGATGTTCGATTACATATTGCATATGGAAAATCTGACGCATGTCTAAGAAAGGACCATTTTTGGGCGCCAGCAACAGTGCGATCGCCATTACTGTTTTATTAACGGCATGTTTCAGGTTCAATTAACTTCGTGTTTTTCGCAACCAACTCCTTAACACGCAGATGACGAATCAACGACGCTAGTGTTGTCACTTAGTATCAAAGCGTTGGGTACCAGTGCCACTATATTGTAGTAGATGAACTGACGCCATTACAAAAAGCCATTACATGTGGTTCTTCGACTAAGGTCAGCTGCATCCTGAAAAAGTCAGAGCTAATCGGATCACTACTTCGGCGGTGACCGTTGACAACATAGCGGCGCCCATTTTGACACGTGACGTTCTCATTATGGAGGGATTTATTGTCGGACAAAAAGCAAGCCTCTTAAGAAAAATGTTGGCACAAAAAGTTGCCTTTTCTGGAGGGGTAACTTTGGCCTTCCGTAAAATTTTGCGTTGGCTTTCCAAACTTGTAACTTGTTGTGTCGTGCCGATCCACGTCAAGTCGTGCCGATATACGTCCCCCCAGCCGTGACCCGACCTCATGTCAAATCCGAGCGTTAGACCCCCCGGGCCAAATCGGGCACGTATCCTGACCTCGTCGGCAGGTCATCCCGCGGTGCAGTCCTGGATCAGCTTTAACGTGACATGAGATCAGCTGCAGGGTAGCATCTGGGGTCAGTCCGGTACGTGACCTAACACTAACAGCAGGGCACGACCCGGCGTGACTCGACTCGGCTTTAGTCTGTGACCTCAGCTGAGTGACCTGACCAGGGGTCAGTTGCCTCAGACGACCTATACCTCAGACGAACTATCTGACCCGGGGTCACTTCCAGCACGTGACCTAACCCGCTCTGCAAGCACGGTCTGAGATCAGCTCCATTACCTCACCTGACCTCAGCTGCAGGGGCCGACCGGAATCATCTCCCTCACCTGATCTAACCAGCCGCAGGGCACACCCCAGCATGCCCCCAGGTGAGCTGGGGTCAGCGCGGCCCTCGGCGGCGGCCAGTTCCGGCGCCTCCCGGGGGCGCCCGGCGCTGCTGCGGTTCCGCAGACCGGCGTGGGACCGCCCCTCTGGCCTCGTGGCTACGCTGCGCCACTCTATAAAACGCCCGGCGCCCGGACGGTGGGCACAGTGTCGGGTACAGCAGTCCGAAGATGGCGTGGCTCCAGGTGCGTGGCTGACGCCAGCTCAGCCCACCGCCGGCTGCGGCGTGGCAGAGCACGAGGCGAAGCTGCAGCCGGTGGTGGTGATGATGCTGGCGATGTGGTGGTGGAGGTGGTGGTGCTGGTGGTGGTGCTGCTGCTGGTGGTGGTCGTTCGGTCCCCGCAGCTAACGTAGAGTCACGGTTCCCTTTTTAAACACTGCTATAGGCTGCTTCATGTAAAGACTGTTCCAGGGGAACGGTGGTTTGGCATGAGTCGTGCGATCCTGCTTTAAGACAATAAGCGATCTGTCCCTGCCCACCAGTTCTGTGATCTATTTGACCTCTTCCGATATTATTTTTCACCGTCAATGCATGCAGAAGAGCTATACGTTCCTTGAGTGTAATTTGGCATGTATAGATAACATTTCGAATCCATTTGCAAAGACGCAACGGGCGGCATGCACCTTCCTAAAATAATCAAGATGCATTATGGTGATCGTCCATTCCGCATTCCTTGGACATCGCTGTTAGCCTTCGACAATGCATGCCAAATCAATCATGTCAAGTTCCTTTCTTGTCATCTATGACGTGAAGTAATTAACATTGCACGCTTACGTTTTAACCCCCAAGCGTACAGACGGGGCCGCACAGAGGCCTATCTCCGAATTTTCTGCTCTGCATTTCTGATATTGCTCATATCGCATGTGCTTTGCATGCACTGAACGAGTACAGTGTACAAATGGCCGGCATATATATATATATATATATATATATATATATATATATATATATGTAGTGGTGATGTGTGTGTGTTTGTGTATATATGTTCATATTTGCAGTGCTGTCTACGAAGCGGTATAGCTCATGGCCCAAACATGAACCCTGTTAAGCGCATGGTTAAGAGATGTTAATCGCCGTAATTATAGCAATCTTGTCAGAATTCGACAATTCTTATGATGGTACACAGTTATTAAGCATTGCATACAAAATCGGCTGATAACGGTCACGGTTGAAAGTAAAGTCTTTCACAGTTTTTTTTAGAATGCCTTAATCAATGTCAAACACATTCATGCATGCTCCGATGTTAAACGCTAACAATCACATGGTAAAACTTTAAGCACATGATTTTGACTGTCTGCAGCACCGTGGAGTGCCCCTTTTGTCGGAAGAATCCCTACGTCCATGACGCATTAAATGAGCCGGCTCTCCAACCATTCTCTCATGGATGTAGGTTAAAGACGAAATGACTAAGAGACCCTAGTCTTGATGTAGAGCGCTCATTTCTATGCCACTACTTACATACATATCTTTGTCAGGGCTCAGCGAGACCAAAGACCCTGAAATTCACAGCCTGGTGATGTGCTCAGGCTTTTCTATTTTACTTAGTCCAGTATGCTATTACATCATTTATGTTCTTTCAAGGGATTTTATTGCGTTCATGACATGCTAGGACAGTGTCTGTCGCTGCAAACGTTGTTTGAAAGCTGCCCAATCGTCTTGATCGCGCCGCTTTAAAGGCTTGTTTTATGCTGTCAGCAGAATCTAAAAATCACCTGTGAGCATCCATCATTTGGGTTTAGGGGCGATGCCCCAGAACCATGTTACTTTTAAAAGTTCTTGTGAAACGGCAGCAGAAGTCAACGCGCGTTACTGGTGGACCGGGTTCGCACATTGCCGCGACGCTTGGACTGAAATGTTCCCATCCGAATTCATAACACCGACATTTACGCGGTTTTGCACAACGGAAATAACACGCCAGACATGCGCACCGCCGCTAGGAGGCGCCTCACGTTCCCATGCCGTTACCAAACACCACCACCGGCGGACCGCCGAACCAGCGCGTAGTTTGGGCGGCCGTCCTCTCACGTTTTGGTTGTTCAACACGGGGGCGCGACAGAAACCGAAAGTGGTTTGGCGAAGGACGATGAGCGGAGAGTGACCTAACGTCGCGTCCACCGACGGCGGCGAGACGTGAGACGTCCATCCCGGGCAGCGAGGTGTCGTGCGGCTCAGGCGCACGGTCTCCGACCTGTTACCGACTTCCCAGGCGGAACCCACGCCTGCTCATTTGCTTCTTGATGTAAGCAGATGTCTGCGGCATTTCCCCAAAGCTTAGAGGCCAGAACGTTGGCCATTTCGACTGTGTAACGTTTGCGTGCACGTGCCAACGGAGACGCGTTGCAGTTTCAGGGCAGTTCCGGGATGCCTTCTGCGTTTGTCACATGACACGTATTTTGTGTATTGGCGTATGTGTATAGCCTGATTAAACACCCCGTGACGGTGCGATGCGACTAAATTGTCATCAATAACCTTTCGTGCTCGGAAATCTACAACCAGAACAATGCTTTGACACAAATGCAGTTGGTAAATGAGGACATTCAGCTTAAATGCAATATGCAACTTTTTATTCAAATTACGAGTGTAAAGGAAATAACGGAACCAACTCGTGCCCTACCCTAATAGAAACTTTCTTGTACGTTGTGCACGTTCTCAAGGTGCAATGGACGGGCGCGCTTCGAGCTGCAAGGTTGTGTCTCCAAATGTGAGAGCCTCCCACATTTTGCCGCCGAATCTGCAGGCACTGAAGGGTCCTGCTTGTAAATGAAGGGTCCCTCGAGCCCGAGCCTGCTTCCCGTTAAGCCTACGCGACAAAGAACAGCACAACAAGCCCGAGGGCCTGGCAAACCACGGTTATGCCTCTAAAGCAATACAGGTCAGCCACTAACGCAAGCCCCGTAAACGAGCAAATAGTAGCTGTTGCCGTGACGGGGCGCTCTATAGAAATAGCCCACCGCCCGCATCGATCAGTTTTAACGAACCAGCGCTTTCAGCCAAGACCCATTGCAAAACGCGGAATCCGTTATGAAATGCATGGTGGCCTGGTAATGGTACCGCTTGTGGACCGACGGGAGATAGGGCTCGTGAGTTTCACCACCCAGCCCAGCGACAGCTGTTTGCTGGGTGGCGAGCCACCCGCTGACCCGAGCGGCTCGGCTGGTGACTGGGTCAGAGTGGCGCCGTCGGGTGGGCGCACATCGCGCCGGTCGTCTCCTCTGTGGCCAAAATCGGCGCCGTCCTGGGCAGTTAAGCCGCTGTGCTCAGCGGCGGAGCAGGGGTGCACACTGTAACTAACGTCACACCCCGTGCGACCGGCGCGCCAGGAAACACAGGCAGAACCCGCGTAACCGCGCCAGCGGCACTCCAGCCATTCCGATTTTCCGCTGCGCCGACAGAGAACGTGCTGTTTACGGCTCGGCACCGCCGGGGGCCGCACCAAACCGAAATGGTTAGGAACGGGGCGCCCGTATCGACCGCCGGCCCTGCGTTTCGTTCCAGCGGTGACTGCTCCGTGTCGTCACCGTGTTATAGGGCCCGCGTGCGATCCGAGAAAGTTACACCAGTCGCGGCGGCTGCCGGGAGGGCACTCCCTCCTGCGCCCAAGGTCGCCTCGCCTTTTCAGTTGTGCTGAATCATTAACAGATGCGCGCTCTCCGGCAGCGATTGCGTGGGTGGGGCTGTTGGCATTCCGCTGTGCCGCAGCTTTTGATTTCTCGTCATCACGCGTCTGAAGGCCGCCGCGTAACCCTGGGGGCAGCTGTACGGCCCGGCCGGCAGAGATGTGCGGCAGAGTGGAAAATGGCATCTCTCGAGCAGGACGTGTTATCCTCCCACGGTGGATAATTCCATCCAACCAGCTTCAGGAACATTTAAAACCCTTGACTTTGAGAACAAACCGCGTCGGCTTACGTCATAGACTGTAATCGCCAACAAAGCCGTAAATAATGCGTAAATGATTGCTGGGTACAGGTCCATGTCCTTCGACAGATTCCGGCGGATGTAAAACTTTGTGGTTTTGTGGGATCTATTGTGTGGCTAAAGGATGTGTTTTTTTGATGTAGTACAGCCAAACCGTATGACCACTGATATGCGGATCTTTAAAACTATACAAATTATTGAATGTTTTGGCTGTTATTCACATAACTGCATTTCTTTTAACTGCAAATGATATACTTACATTCGCAAAGCCATTAAACCTACTAGGCACTCTCAATGACGTTTCAGACGGACGTTTTGATGCATGCTGTACACCGATAAGGTATTCCACATACGCCTTTCTAGGTCTACCTACTTTTGAAACATCTATAATCGGTTACATATATATGTATATATATATATATATAACTCACTCTATCTCCTTTTCTCTCTCCCTCTCCCTCTTCTCGTTCTCGCTCTCTCTCTCTCTCTCTCTCCCTCTCTCTCTCTCTCTCTCTCTCTCTCTCTCTCTCTCTCTCTCTCTCTCTCTCTCTCTCTCTCTCTCCCTCTCTCTCTCTCTCTCTCCTCTCTCTCTCTCTCTCTCTCTCCCTCTCTCTCTCTCTCTCTCTCTCTCTCTCTCTCTCTCTCTCTCTCTCTCTCTCTCTCTCTCTCTCTCTCTCTCTCTCTCTCTCGTTCTCTCCCTCTCAAGGAGTCCGAAGGGAAAACCTATAAACGCTAGTATGCAGATGGGGGCAGTCAGTGCAGTCTACCAGCTGTGGGCACTCAACATCCCTTACCGCACTTACGTATGTTTCGTTTGCAAGTGCTTGTTCGTCCCCCGTACCCACCCGCTCGTGCTTGTTCGTCCCCCGTACCAAGTCACGCGTTTCCACCGCGTCACACGTCATGTTCCACGTTTCTGCCACGTCACCTGTTCTCTCGACCCAGAGCCCAAGCACCTGTTCGCCATCTCGCCTCGTGCTGTCAGCGTGCCGCAATGACTGCCCGGGCGACCCCATTCGAATCGCGTCCATTTTCGTCGGTGCAATTCTCCAGGTCGCTGCAATCGCCCCTTAAAGTACGCGGGGCTGGGCCGGGGGCGTGGGAGGTGCCTGTCCCTGACCCCACCCCCACACATCACCCGGCCCACAGACCCTAACTGCTACCGGAGCTATCAGCGCTCATTAGCGGGCCGGCAGCGGCCTCCCGCGGCGCGCAGTGGGTGTCGGTGGACCGCTGGCGGAGGTCGGCGCCTCCCCGGCAGCTGTCGGGTCTCCCGAGCCCAGTGCGTGTTCCGGGTCCCCGTGCATCTCCCGGAACCCGAGCGCGCATCTCGGTACCCCAGGCTTGCCTTCCGTTCTCCCCTTCCGCACGTGCTTTTCCAGGGCTCTGTGACCTTTCCCCTAATCGGAAGTACATCGCCGACGCAACTAAGACTCGGTGGCAAACTGCTGTGCGGTGGGGGTGGGGGCCACGCGGGTCTGGAACCGTTATTTGGCCAGCTATTGGTACCGAAATGTGCCACCCAATCTTGGCTAACGACACCCGGCGGGCATGTATGAACAATCGGCCACCAGCCGGGTCGTTCCACATCATTTGATGCTGAACGATAAACGCCGCTGAATAATGCGAGCAGATGGAAATAAAGGCTGGCCGTATTAAAGGGATAATCTGCTGTTGCGATGTAGACAGTGCAGCTCGTTAACCTAAATTCGCTGCTGTGTGTGTCCTGCCTTGCATGCATATTAATCAAGGCGAGCCTGTGTTACAATAACGACCGCAGCCTTAACACTGCCCTGACCTTCATAGCCGACCTGAGCATTATTTGCGAGCACGTCCACGTCAGACCAGTGCAATGAATGGTCTCTTCAGATGCTGGCAGCCTTGGTGCGCCACATTCATTCATGCCACGAGCCGTGCCGCTCCACCAACCGACGGCGCTCTGCCCAGTCATCGATCGCCATGAAAGCGGCTTCCAATACTTCATCGGCTAATCTTACGCGGCAAAATGCGTAGTAAGCGACTGCTGACCTAGGCCAATGGCTGTTCATGTTCAATGGCCTCGACGAGCACAACAGCGTGGTATTTTGTTGTTAAACTATGATGCAGTTAAGCAGACAGTAGGAGCCACAAAGTGTTGAGTGTCTCAAGGTGTTATACCATATATATATATATATATATATATATATATATATATATATATATATATATATACTATTTGGTCATGAACATTGTAATTTTAGTTAAAAGAGAAGATGAACTATTCAGCAATACAAACCGCTTCATACGTAACGTGGTCAGACAATACCATTTAATTCTTAGCAACCACCTGTATTTTATTGGATTGCTTCAGTGCACTTTTCCTTTCTTCGCCGAGGTTAGCCTTTTGAGGCTGTGTTAAGGTATGGAAAATAGCAACTGTGTTAGGGTCTGGCAAATAGCCACTGATCTTCCAGGCTGTCGTGGTGTCCATTTTGATCGGTCCGTCATGGCATAACTCATGCCCTTCTTGTCCAATTTCTCTCGCTTTAAAAGCTTTCCATTATCATTTATTTCACTTGTCAGCTTCAGTTTGCTATATATTTTAGTTTACTTCACTACTGTCATAGAAATTACTCAAAAACAATGCGCATTCTTGTTCAAGGAGCGCAAACCATTGCAACGCGTCGTAAAACACTATCCACCCGTATCAGCGATTGCAAAACGTGTTCAACGCGGTGGCCAGGAGCGGTCCTTTTGGCAGATCCCCAACGCGTGTAATGAGTCATCAACAACGGGTGCGACCAGCGCTGAAGGGAATTCGTCCGTGCCTTCGCCTGGTGCCCGCCGAATCCAGCGGGGCGCTCAGGACAGGGAGACACGGCACGGTTATCGGACGGTTTCGTCATGTGTGTGGTCGCCTTTCGCCGCCGACCTTGCGACGTACGCGACGCGAAGGGCAAGCTTCGGTGACGGGACCGCTCGGGTCCCACGAGCTGGTGATGACGCAGCGGGCCGAAAAAGACGGGCGTGGGCTCCCTCCGCCGGTTGGACCTCCAAACTTATCGGAGCGTGGGTAGCATTCTCCCCCAAACTGGGACCGAGTGACACCACGCTCGATAGGAAAACTGATTTTTCTCAAGCATCAGGGGTCTCTAGCCTGGCCACGTTTCCGCATTGGAACGCTTTGAGGAACTGGCCTACTAAAGGCTCCGTTTAGGAATGGGCACAATAAACACGAACTAGGGCAGCCACCCGGGTGCTTAGTGTAGACTCGAAGAAAATTAATAGGGCATCAGCAACAAGTCATGCGATGTCGTGTGTTTGGAAACGCAACCGCAAGCTCCTCGCCTGCCCGTACGCCTTCGTGCAGCGGGCTTTAGTCTAACCTCACCCCATCGCTTTCCAGGTTGTGTTCGTGGCGGTGGCCTGCGGCCTGACGGTCGGCAGCCCGATGACCAAGGGGTACAAATACCCAGTGCCTGACAACGGGCTGTACCTGCCGCCGCCGCCGGACAAGGGCGGCCCAGTCAACCCGGGCGGCACCAAAAACGTAGAGCTCAGCCTCCCGACGCCGCCGCGGCCGACCACCACGCGGCGACCGGTCACCACGCCGGCGCCGTACCGGCCGCCGAGCACCCGCCGGCCTCGTCCGACCCCGGCGCCGACCACGCGCCGCCCGCGGCCCACCTACCGGCCCGCGACCACGCCGCGGCCCGAGTATATCCCGCCCAACCTGGTGCCGGACGGCTCGGGCCCGCAAGGCGGCCGCGTGCCGTTCCCCACCACCCGGCGCCCCATCATCACCACCCGGCGCCCCATCATCACCACCCGGCGCCCTGTCATCACCACCCGGCGCCCCATCATCACCACCCGGCGCCCTGTCGTCACCACTCGGCGCCCGCTGACCCGGCGACCCGCGCTCACCCTGCCGCCGGGACCGGCGCCTGGTGGATCGGTAAGCACATCCACGCTCAGCTCCCCGTTCCTCACAGATGGGTGATCCCCACCCACTGAGCGGCGGGCGCCGGCTCTCTAGTTCCGGGCTGGTGCTGACGGTCGTTGAAAGGTGTGTGCTCGTATGCAGCGCGCACTGCCGGGGAAACGGTTGAGAAGTAAAGCAGAACTGCGAGAGCTCAAAACAGAGTTAGTCGGTTATGGGTGTGCGAGTGTTTGGCAGCCAGCTGGATCGTGATTATTTGCACTGGAGCGCTGATGGTGAAGGTCAGGATCCTATTGCGCACTCTAACTGCACTCTGCACGCACAAATCGTGCGTCGTATCCGACCGTCGACCCCAATCCGCCACACACGCAGCCAATGTGTCTCTATCCAGATATGGCTGGCTGAACGCCACCTGTCGGCCCCTTCGCCGTCCCTCTATTCCGAGCTGCGTTTAGCGTCCTGAGTCCGCTCTAACGCGGCACCTCTAACTCTTCGTGCACGTCCCTGTTGCAGAAGATGATGCACATGTCTCGGCCGTACGAGTTCGGCTACGACGTCGACGACTCGAACACGGACAACGCCTTCAGCCAGAAGGAGACGAGCGACGGCATGGTGATCACCGGCGAGTACCGCTGGAAGATGCCCGATGGCCGCACCCAGATCGTCTCCTACCTGGCCGACTGGGCCAAGGGCTACTACGCTGACATCCGGTACGAATAGACGACGCGGAGCACTACCGAGGCGCGGACGGCTTTCGGAGGACGGGAGCGACGGCGGCGCCCTCTGCGCCGCCGTTGGGCCGCAGCCGGGGATCGCGGCGCGCCCTGGCGAGCAGGCGCTCCCCGGTCGTCAGGGGAAGACCAGGAGCGCCCCTCCCGTGTGGCGCAGGTCCGCGGTCGCCCGGTGTGGGCGGGAGCGTCCCTGCCCCGCCCACCGGGGCAGAAGGCGGTTCGGCACCGGCATGTGCTGTTGGACCGCTGCGGTGACTGTGATACCAACAGCCCGCGGCGGCGCGCAAGACCAGTGGTATCGTTTCGCGGGGCTGCAGCGGCGGCCGATGTTTTGTTTTAGAGCGTAAGGTTGTGAGCCGCTGTATGGAGCGTGTGCCTGTTGAGGAGGTGAGAGAGAGAGAGCGTTGGAAGTTTGCGGGACGGTGGAATGAAGCGGCCGATTTCGATAAGTGACACTCGGCGTAGATTCGGTCCTCTAGCCGCTTTTCCTTGGAATAATCTGGTTGCATTATCTCCGAGCTGTACTGAACTCAGTATTTTTAGATAAGCCGTCCGGTCGCGTGTTTTTATAGTGACTGCGAGGTGAGACTCATCGTGGTTTTGTATGCATTTGTCCCTTGCTATAAAATATAAACGGGATCTCTATATCCCAACTCTTGATACTCTTTTGTCGGAATACGACTGAGCCCCGAGAAGTTGCGTCAGAACTGGTTTTTATTGTTGAATAGCTCCTTGCCGAGCTATTTAAAAGCTTTATTTTGGATAACTGCTTATCTGCCAGAAGTTGTTCAAGTGAATCAATCAGGTAGAATAATCAAAAAAACCTACACATAATCGACAGATATCTTACCGTTCTTCCACGTAACTTCAGCATGCATTAACGTCCAGTTGCAAGAAAAGAGATCGGAAACTGTGGCATGCATATCAAGAAGTGCTATCGAATTCAAGCAAGTAAAACAAGATCTAACAGGCGGACAAGGTCACTGACACCAACGCCGTCAGTCGGCTGGGATCAAGAACAAGCTGTGATTTTCGTCGTCACTGACACAAACATGGTCACGGTCACTAGGATCAGGAACAAGCTGGGATTTTCGGGTTCACATATTGTAAATGCGGTGCTGCTGGGCCCATCCAAAAATATTTTCCCTTTCTTCTCATCCATAGACCTCTCTCTTATCTTTTTGTCATTTCATTCATTTTGCAGTGTTATTGGCAAGACAGGTTGATTTTCCGCTAGCTAAAAGCAGCACAGAACATGCTCTTTGCCAAAAAGCACTCAAACATATTATGTTAGGAAAGCTTAATGTGAATGATGCGCAACTAAGTTGTTATACTGCCGCACTGCTGTGAAGACAAGTGTCAGATGAGTGTGTACAAGCTGGTGACATAACTCACGATTATTTTGCATACAATCGGGGTGAATCTCGTCATTTCATTGAGCATAAAGTCAGACAGTGGCTAGAACTGAGCACCCGCACGTGGTTTCAGCTGCGCCGAGGATATTGGCCTGTGATAAAGTGCAGTCTCGTTCCCTTCACCTACCGCGTTGCAGTTTCCCGGAAGCATCTGATCGGATAGGGGATCTGTTGGTTCTTTAAATATGGTTCACGCCTTTTGCCGAGTAAATTCGCCCAGCACTATAAACGGGTCTAATTGAAGCTTTGATTTTTCGCGTGCACCTCCCCATAGGTACAATGTTGCATTCTCCCAAATGTTGGAACATGGGTTTTCAGTTAACGTGCACGCTGGGTGAATTTTGCCCATGCCGCCTGACTTCACTGTGGAGGGATACCTGTGTTTTGCATAGAACGCTTATGTGTTCGCACCCTAGCAAAAGGGTCTCAGATCAGGCCTAAAATCCCCTTGCCCGCGCGTGCCACGCCAAGATGGACAGGACCACCAGCGGTCCGTACCTGTCAGCAATCCAGCGCGACACGAACGCGGCCGGTGTCGCAAGGCTGAGTCGACCACCCGTCATCAGGCTGCCGATCGTGCGCGCGTCGCGTGGCGGGGTGTGCAACAGCGCGTCCGTAACAGGACAATTCGCCCGGTGATTTGCGGTAGTCGGCTCCCGCGCGTCAAGGCTGGCCGGCCGCCGCCCTGGAGGGCTCCTCGCGAAATCAGCGGAGCTAGTTAGCTCTCACCAGGTGTCGCGGCCATGTAACGAGGCTGAACTGTCACCACGGCTGGGCTGCGTTACCACGCTGGCTGTCACAACAGCTCTCAGGCGGGTGACGTGCATGGACTTCCGTCACTGCCACGGCCGGGACTCGACATAGTCCTTTGCGTGCGTCGCCCATATGAATGCGTCGCCAAAAGGAGATGCGCTGAAGCAGATTATATAAGTACGGCTCAAGGTGTAGACGGCTGATAAGACGTGATAGAAAGTGGCGTGAGCAGACAAGTATGAACAGTGGTTTTGTAGCCTGAAAAAATGAAGCTGCTTTACTGTTCGGCATGACTGCGTAAATAGAAAGTAAGCGTGTTCCGTACGATGCATATGACAAAAAAGACAGACATAAAATTGTTTTTTGTCAATGCAATCACAATGAGTCATTTTGTGGTCTTATAATCGGGTCGTTATAAAAACCTGTCTAAATATTTGTCACGGTGTCCAATTTGGCGGCATTGCATTCCAAAGAAGCTGCATATGCATCTGTGTTTGTCAGGGGTGTCAGGTAAGGCGCGAAGCATACGGACCTGTGCCACTTCCATGGAGGATGCTGAAGAGATGTACATCGAGGAAGTGTGTACATCAAGGAAGAACACACATAGAGCACCTGAAGCCACCTTTTCTCATATGGCTACCTGCCGTCAGTGGCGTAGTCAGGGGGTGGAGGTTTTGGGGGGTACTTGCCCTGGAGGCAGCCCTAGGTCCACCGTCTCCTGGGGTCAAAGACTCCAGTACGTTTTGGCAATTTAAGACGCACGTAAGTATTGTAAAGCTATAAAAACGTAGCCTTCGAGGCATCAAAATGGGATCCCGAGCATAAGGATCCCCTACATTAAACACATGGTCCTTAAAGAAACGAAATGGGGCCTCCCAGGATGAAAGAGCCTGCTGTGCCCCGCATTGGCCCCCTCCTGGGCGCGATCCCGACTATACCGCTACGTGCAGTCCGTCACGATGTAACATTAGGAGCAAGAGGTCCCATTAAAATACAAGAATGACTTGAGTGCCTACTGCCGCTGCTCCCTACAAGGACGCCGCATGAGGGCCCCTGGTAGAGCCAATCGAGGTCAGACCACTCCTTACGAAATTCCAACGTGTGCCTCTGTTGTTAAAACATAAAGTCAGCCAAGCCAGGCAATGGTGTGTGAACGAGAGTGTCAGTATGCTGAACTGAAAAATACGTTTGCTGTATTTTATTGCACATTCAATGAACTATGTTGATAGTAAAACCACACTCCGATCGCAAAAGATGTCCTATTGACTTCCGTAGCGATGCTCACCATAACTCTTGCCCTACTGGAGATTCCTCACCTTCGCCTTACGAGGGGGCCTCAAAGATCCCCCTAAGATCTCAAAAACTAAGCGAGCGAGACGTGCGCTGAGAACAGCATTGGAAATTTGTCATCAAATTGCATCAGATAGGTATGTGTGGAAACTGATGAGCGTGAGCTTTAACAGGGCAAACTGATTCAAATAGGTCAGATTAGCAGCTTGTGGTCATCTGTTATCTCAAAAGCTAAGCACGCTACGGCAATGCGGAAGACGGTTTGCCACTGTTAGAATGTTTTATCAGGAAGCTTTTTCTAGTGGAAATTGACACATGTGACCTGTGATGTGCCTCTGTCAGGTCAAGGAGGTGAAGGTGATTGCTGCGTTGGCCTCTCCGTATGCCGATAGCTTAATCAGTCACATAAATGGATAGGCCAGGGTCTGAAAGGCCTTCTTAAGCTGTGATACCTGCGTCATTAGGCTCAAATCTTTTCATCTTCAAACGGCCAAATCTTGTCACGCAGATCAAAGCTTGATCTAGCTTGACCTTGAAGGCCAAGAACTTGAAAAAACGGCTAGAACGGTAGGTGATCACTTCAAAGAGGTAAGAATAAGGCAGAGAGACTAGATTTTTCTATTGAATTTTCTCGAAAAAATGAGCGTAATTTTTCACTTATGAACAAATATCTCTCCAAGACCTCAAGAAAAAGTCAAGGACCGTTTGTAATACAAGATCAGAAGCCGGAAATTCTCACATCCGCAGAAATCATGTTAATCCATAGCGATCATTTCAGCACCTTACTCAAAACCATTTAGAAGTTATTTTGGAAAAAGTTTGGACGGCTAAGTAAGCCTCCGCCTGCCCTTGGGGCTCGCCACGTAGAGGAAGGATAAAAAATAAGACAGATTCTCATGAGCTTACGAATGCGCATTACAGACACGCATGCGTATTAAAGGCACGTCAGAAACCTAAGGCGAGGATCGGTCTTTTTTCAAATAATTGCGGAAGATTACCGTTGCCTGCAGTGGCATGTGGACTGACCACTACCAATTTATGGCGCAGAACATCAAGGATGAATTGTGATTTAATGCCGGTTCTCCGCTGTCACGATCGATTGGACGTTTTACCTTCGAAAACGGTGCAATAACACACAGCGAACTTTGAACAGCCCTGACGTCACACATTTTCGAGGCTTCTTTGCAGTTGCATGAATGAGGATGCTCATAAAACGAAATGAAGCGATCATTTCACTGGCCAATTGCATTACTAGATTAGCATAACACTATGTCATAAATCAGATTGAGCTCAAGATATGTAGATTACCAGAAATATATACACATATAATACAATTACCAAACCGTCTTACGTCCATGGGTGTCTTATGTAATGTGGCCAAGGTGCAGAAACATCCGCGTCACATGATGAACACCAAATGCCCGTATGTGAAGATGCCACGCATGCAGACGATAATCCACGCGATTGTTGAACAGGACGTCTGGTAAGGTACAGCCATTTTTCACGCTAGCATTATTAGACGGAGACCTTATTTGGTTCTTAATCTGAAACTGGCGAAGAAGAGCAGCAAAATGAATGAAAGGTGGCCAGGTTTACCAGAATAGCCTGTGCACTGTGGAACGGGTTCTTACAGTCATCAGCAGTTATTCATGATTTGACGCTTGCAGCACGTAATGATTTGGTCCCGCCAAACCAAATTCGCGAACGTAAAATAACGAATAGATATGTACATGTGATGACGCCATAACACTTCCCTACCACTTTTTACCAGCTATTTTGGTAAGCCTGATTATCAATAGGTTCGACGGCAAATATGTCTGGCACCTATTTATTTTATCCCTCTTCTGCTTTTTCCAGTTTGGTGCCATACTAGGACCTTATCTAAGGTCATTGGCGTGAAAACGGCTCAGACGCGTATTCAGGCAGGACTTGACCAGACGGCTTTGCAGTGTAGGGGCACTGCGACAGGACTTGGCCAGACGGCTCTGCAGTGCAGGGGAACTGCGACAGGACTTGACCAGAAGGCTCTGCAGTGCAGGGGCACTGCGCGGCTTTGCTGTGGATGCTGGGCCGCCTCCTGTACAATTATATCACGGACATCCTGTACGAGTGGTTTGGGCTTAGAACCTCTGTGGTATTGAAGCCTATGGTATTATGCATACCTTAAATGTGTTA